GTGTTCTTTCGGAACTGGAGCGAGGCTCGTGGCTGCTTGGATAGGGGTGATTTATTGGCGGGCAGGCGGGGTGGGGGGGCAGGCAGCAAGGAGAGCTCTTGGGGGACGATCCTGGGAGGAAAAAAAAGGGGGGGCTCAGGTTCCCTGGAGTGTCAACCGCAGCTGCCAGCAAAGGGAGGGGGGTGACCAAAAAAGCGGGGACGAGGAAGGAGAGCTCGCTCGCCGCCTTTGCGACAGGGCATCCGGTTGCCAAAATCGAGGTGGCGGGGGCGAGAAGCGGAGAGGACGCTTTCGGAAGTCTGGGGTGCTGGAAACCAAGCACCCGCTCGATAGGAACCTAGAAAGGGGGGGGGTTGACACCTAAGGGACATGGTTTTTGGGAGGGGGACACAGGGGTAGAAATCTAACCACCCCATCCCTTCTTAAGATCTCTGGTGTGGGGGGGAGTTTTGTGTGTGTGTGTGTGAGTGTGTGTGTGAGTGAAAGTACAGACTGAGGCTTTTCGGTTTTCTTTCCTGGATCTCGGAAATCTAACCACCCCATCCCTTCTTAAGATCTCTGGTGGGGGGGAGTTGTGTGTGTGTGTGAGTGAAACTACATGCTGAGGCTTTTCGGTTTTCTTTCCTGGTTATCTCTCGCAAGCCCACTTTTCAGGGCGAGGAGTAACCGTCGTGGTAGCCCCATAGATGCGCGGCTGGCGAGCGCATCTATGCCCGGCCAGCATCTTTGGCTGGCCACCCCATCCCTTCTTAAGATCTCTGGTGGGGGGGAGTTGTGTGTGTGTGTGAGTGAAACTACATGCTGAGGCTTTTCGGTTTTCTTTCCTGGTTATCTCTCGCAAGCCCACTTTTCAGGGCGAGGAGTAACCGTCGTGGTAGCCCCATAGATGCGCGGCTGGCGAGCGCATCTATGCCCGGCCAGCATCTTTGGCTGGCGAGGGCGAGAGGGCAGCCGGAGGAGCGTTGCTGGCCCTTGGCTTCCTCTCCATCCTTCCCGCAATCGGAGCATCGCCAAAAGACGTGTTTGTGTGTGTGCGCGCGCGCGTTTGTTGTCTCCCCAGAACCCTCTTTGCGTGTGTGCGCGCACACACACGCGTACGCCTCCCGGGTGCTCCTCTTCGCCAAGACACCGAAAGTGATTGAACTCGGTGCTAGCCTTGATCTTTGGTTCTTTGCGGGGCGGGCAAGGCGAGCGGAAGAAAAATCATATGAAGGAGGGAGGGGGAAGGGAGCAAGAAGACCCCCCATCCTAACCAAGATCATGGAGATACCCCCACCCGAGATACTTTGTGTGTGTGTGTGTGTGTGTGTGTGTGTGTGTGTGTGTTGGGGTGGGGGGTTATTTGCCAGCTGCTGGTTTCTGGGAGTAATCTTGGCAAGGTCCCCCCGGCGAAGGAGAAAGAGGGCGCCTTCGGCTGATCTATCGGTCATCTCAGCGTCAGGGAAGGGGAAACCAAATCAAGCTGGAAGGCTGATGACGGTCCCATCCATCTAACGGTCCCTTTTTGAATCAGACCCTCTTCCTGTGGAAAGAACTCCCCCGAGCCTGTCTTTCAGTCTGACATCACCAGGCGAACCATTTTTTACCTTTTGGAGAGATGCCCGCTGATCATCAGCGCCTTTAAATATTTATTTGGCCAGCGCCGGTGGGAGAGAAGCCAGTTGGCAAGAGAGTTAACTGATGGGAGCAGGCAGGGAATCCTGGGTTGTTGTTGCTGTTGTTTTTCCTTGGTTTCGCGTTTTGTTGTGTGTGTGTGTGTGTGTGTGTGTGTTTTGGGGATGGGGGGGAGCTGCTCTGGCTTTTGAGAGAAGGGTCACATGGATGTGATCCAGCAGCAACCGTGATCCAGTATTGACTCAGCAAGCACAAAACGATCTCTTCCGGAACTCACAACATGCATACACACACACACACACACACCGGGTCTCTCCTTTAGACAACACAACCACCTCTAACTTGGGAGAAAGAGACCTTAAGTGTTTTCCCCTCCCACCCTATTTTCATAGCTCCTAACTGGGGGCTTGGAAGAGCAGGCACCCTGTTGATCCATTTTGAGGGCACAATAAGAATTTCACGGGCCATTGATCCACGGAAGAAATCAAATAATTTTAATGGCTTAATAATGAAACAATAAACTTACCAGGGCCTCAGATAGCTAGGCGGATCTGAAAGGGTCGGAATGAGCTGGTCCTGGTTTCTTCATTTCTTTTTATGTTTTTTCCTTCCCTTCCTTCAATCCCTTTCTCCAGTTTACAATCCCTTTTAGCCAGCTTTGGAAAACATATTGTCTTCATTAGGGCTGGGTCTGGAACTTTAGCTTTTTTTTTCCAGACTGGTTAAGATTTGCTAGTGAAATAAGGTTCAGGACTCCAGTCTCCTGTAACAATTAACGTAAAGTGTGCCTTGATGAATGTCACCTCCATTGGGATTTCAAGTTAGGCTGTTCCTGTGATTGTTCCCAATTCCCAGGAATGGGAGGGGAGCAAAAAAAACAGCTGTTTTTCCCCCCCTTTCTTTCCCACAATTCCATAGTACAGCATAAGCTGAATTCACAATCTTGGAAAAGAAAAGAAAGTAGAGGAAAGAGATCTTAATGCAGGCATTCTCCTTCCCTTTTATATATAATAAAATGCAAGATGGCTGTTTTGGGGTATTTCAAGAAGTGATTGTTCCCCAGAAAATGTAACTTTTGACTCCTCTTAGAAAGCAGTCTGCCATACTAGGGCCTGAGAATGAATCAAAGTTAGACAGGGAATTATTTTGGTCCCCAGTCTGAAAAACAGAAGACTTTTGTAAGCCCAAGACTAAACTGCCATTCAACATTACAGAATTTCTGCTTCAAATCTGCTTCAACCAGTGAAAAAATAGGGTGATAAGGTACGCTCTTTTTGCAGATTGCTCATCAGTTCTGACTTTGCCAAAATGCAGTAAGTTTGCCCATTTAGGCAAGTTTGTTCGTCCTGGAGCCCTTACAAAGATCCACGTCAAGAGTCAAGAGGAGAAGCCATTTGCAATTACGATGGCTGTTTTTTTCATTGGAAGTGGAGGGGGAGAAGGCAAGGCTGGACACAGAACAAGGAAAAAAAAACCCCAAGTCATATAATTAAATACAGAGGGTGGAACAAATATGGAACAATAACAGAGGATGATTATTCCTGTGGTAACCCATTTCCTCTTTTTTTCCTTGTGATCAAGCCTGCTTCCCTTCCCCTTGTCTGGCAAAGCTGAATTAACACATCAATTTTCAACTGAATAGGACAGGCTTCTTTTTTGGGTAATTAAAGAGATGTGTCTGGACCTCAAGCCACCTCCATATGTGGATTGTTTTTTGATGAAATGGGACAAACTAAAGGAAAGGTTTTTAAAGACTACATGAAGTTTCAAATAGAGTTTTTCTTTCTTTCTTTCTTTCTTTCTTTCTTTCTTTCTTTCTTTCTTTCTTTCTTTCTTTCTTTCTTTAACACATCAATTTTCAACTGAATAGGACAGGCTTCTTTTTTGGGTAATTAAAGAGATGTGTCTGGACCTCAAGCCACCTCCATATGTGGATTGTTTTTTGATGAAATGGGACAAACTAAAGGAAAGGTTTTTAAAGACTACATGAAGTTTCAAATAGAGTTTTTCTTTCTTTCTTTCTTTCTTTCTTTCTTTCTTTCTTTCTTTCTTTCTTTCTTTCTTTCTTTCTTTCTTTCTCTCTCTCTCTCTCTCTCTTTCTTTCTTGTGGATCTTTCAGGCAGAAATTTGTTGCAATTTAAAAAAAATGTCCTAACACTCATGAAATTAATTTTTAGTGGAGTATTCCATGGAATCCTGCTTCTGAGAAAGGAACTGGGCTTTTCTGTTGAAAGAACATTTGGTTTTCTTAAATCATATAAATCAACTACAGCATTTGGTGGACGATTGAATGTCTCTGTGTTGTTATTTCATATTCCTAGCCTCCACAGTGTAGTATTCCATTGAGACTTACATAAAAAAATCTTTTTCTCTTCTTTCCCTGCTATCTACCACAAAACCTCCATCGACATTGTTTATATACGTCTACAGATTTCTGAGTGGGCCAAACATCCTCAGGAGTTTTAGTAATAATCATATGAATTCCTTTAATATTAGGGTGCCAAATCGAAAACAGAACTGCTTGAAAGTGAGATAGAAGCGGTGCCACAAACTCAAACCTTAAATCAGGATTGGGTATCTAGTATCTAGCTAAGACTCTTAGGCACCTTTACTAGAGAGTAAATGCCACCAAAACCTAGTGGGATTGGGTGGGTGGTGGGGTTGTAAAAAGACCCCAGAGGCTGAGGTGCGAAGTAGCAAAGCATTCTGAAGTTCTAAAACGTTGCCATGTAGCGAGAGAGCCATTCTTATCTGAAGTTAAAATCAATTTCTGGAAACAGGCTAAAATTGCTGTCGTTCCTTCCTACTCAGCAAAGAGTTCGAGGTTGTGGGGAAAGGGCCTGCAGACCTCACTGAGGCTTCTCTGTTTATGAATGCTTCTAAAGTTGATTGCAATAAAGGGCTTCGAGTTGTTGGCAAGTATCCCCGGGCATTTCATGCTTTTAGGCTCCATTGGCATGAAATCTTTAGCCCTCTCTCTACATATTTAGCAAACCCTTCCTGGCTAAGCTGACATTTGTGTGCACTAGAGGGCGCCGGTGCTCTTTTCTAAGTCCGAGCTTGTGGCCCATCTGCTTTATAGGCCACTGTGAAAAGCTGTTTTGTTACCACCGGCATCGCCTGCCCTCTCCGGGGAGACGGAATTCAATCTCGCTGTGGTTCAGGCTAATGCTCAGGCAGTTTGTCAGGATTAACATCTTTCTAGTCAGTCTTTCTAGTGTTACCTTCAGCATCATATTACCAGCTTGGCT